GTGCCAAGACCCTCAAGTTCACTCTAGGGCCCATCTATCCTGACTTGAGCTTGGTGCCAAGACCCTCAATTCACTCTAGGGCTCTACTAACAGTTATTATAGCTTCAAGCCCCATGTATACACATTCCTTAAATGTATCAGTTACTTACTAAACCCCATCACCTGTGTTGAATAAAAGGTCACGACAACTACACAGCTAACCAATAAGTATATAGACACCCACTACTGAAGGAATACTGTTTTATTAAATAGACAAACATGAAACAAAGAATACAAGATTACCATTATTATTTAATGCAATACATGATGCAAAAACAAAGTTAGAAAAACAACTTTGATGAGGATGTTCCGAAATGTTGGTTGTTTGGGATGATTTACAGGGAATGATCAAGATTGACCAAACATGCTCAATAGAGTTCACATCTAGTGGCTTGTCCTGGTCATGGGAGAGTGATAATACCTTGACCTTCAAGCCATCATTTTGTGACTGGCTGAATGAGAAAGATCCCCATCTATATGAAAACACTGACTTATATAGTAAGTTAATCATTGGCATAGACAGTAGAAAACCTTGCTTGAGAATTGTGAAATATCAAGTAACAGTGGCCGTCACTTTCCGTACCACCAGTTGTGATAGATAGTCCATCTACCCAAATAGCACCCCACATGATAACATGATACCACAGTATTTGTAGTAATTTACAAATGGTTCAATGAAAGTACCTGTCAAAAACCAAATTGTATCCATTGTTCAAGAACTATGAAATTCTGGACTTGTCCCAGAAATGGAGGAGGACGTGATAGCATCTGTGATGCCCGCTATTGTCAATGTACGATATTGTCTGGAGTGGCTTTTGTCTGCCTACTTTACTGTTGTAATCATTGCTATGAAGATAACATCTGATGTTATTTGGACACACTTGCACCTGACCTGCAACAGTAGCAGCTTTTTGACGAGGGTAATTATCCAGACTTCTCTTTATAGAACAAAGAATTTATTTTGGGCACCCGGGCCATACAGAAACTGTTGCTTTCTTACATGACTGTAACTGTATATCATTTGGCAACTTCTTACCAATTTGAAGAACCTTCCATCATCCAACTGTGTGACCTCATAAAAATATAGTTAAGTTCTTTCATTAGTTGCATGGCTGTTTGTATTCTGTGGTCTCTAACAAGCTATACCTATATTTGTATTTCAGAGTTATTTGCATATGAAAATAAAATGATGAAGTTTGATTACTTATTGGCAGGCTTCCTAAAAAAATACACCAGTATCTTCTAAACAACAACTCAATTACGATTCATGTTAAATAATAAATTTTCTACATAATAACTTGGTAATCATATCATTTCACATGGCATATTTGTTATAATAAATTTTAACTTTACAAAAAAGCTTATATTGCACTTGTATGCAGGATTACCAACCAGACTGATGACAAGCACTTTTAGTTTGAGATCCAGGCTCAGTTACCAAGCTATCGGTGCTTCAGCTCCCACACAAGTAACTCTCCATTTGACTGTTAAAGTAGGCTGAACAATTATTTCATACTCTTGTTGTGGTATACAAACTTTTATTAAATAGTTCACAAACATAAATAAATCACACAGTGAAATTTTATACATATAATGAATTATTAAACAATACATACAATTTTAAGTTGTACAGAAAATTAAAAATCAACACAATCAGATAATTGTTGAAGTTATTGACTGATGAATAAATAGTGTTACCCTTGCATTTATAATAAATCCTACTATAATCAAATTTCCTTAAAAGTGTATAAAATATTAATGAGAACTCATTTTTGGTATTTAATGTATACTTAAGAAGTTTGGTGTGGATGTCTCATATATTAACTACTAGGAACTTTCATTTTATAGAACATGAGACAAGAAAACAACTGTTCTTTTAACACATATTCTCGATAATTGGGGGGAGAGTGTGCCATTTTTTTCTTATCTATTGTTTAATACAAGACATCAGTCATTAAGTGACAACCCAGCAGCAGATCAACTCTTCAGAATGCTCACAAGTTTTTTATAGAAGTAACAGGTGAAGGAGAATAGTTAAAATTCAACCACTGAAAACAAGTCAAAAGAAAATTTTAATACTAGAAATAAACGACCTTATAACATCAAATTGTTGTTTTTCTTTAATTGGACAGTGTTTTGCTCTACAGTTTTTTCAGGCGCATTCCACTAAAACACAAACCATAACTGACAATACAAAGCTTCAAATGGTTTAGATAATAAATTATACTTGAATCGAATCTATAAAATTATAATAATAAGTTGAAAGAAAAGTTTAATACTTCTCATGCACTGTTATTGTAAGTCTTCATCAAAAAATGAAAAGTGAAACAGGTTTTTACAGAAGATTAATTAACGTGTCTTTACAGAAGATTTTTTTTGTGTTCAATATAGGGCAGTGATTTCCAAACTTTTTTCACTGACAACACCCTAACCCACTTACCATAATTTACACAACACCCCTGTTGCGACATGCAATATTTCTTGTAGAGTTCTTTTTTATATATTCCTAATTATTTTTCATTTGGTGAAATTTTTACAACTCTTCTAGCAACTTGTAGTTACACACAGTTTGGAAACCACACGGATATAGGGGAAAGTCAGAAAAGGAAAAAAACAAATGAACGGTGACAGAAAGAATAATTTTTTTTCTGTAGAAATACACTATGTATTAATTGATTGTCTGAATGATTTATGTCTTGAAAAGTATTTATCAAACACATTCAGCATTTTGTAATAGCC